TGTTGCTGCCTCTAGGAAAAATACCAAGGAATGCTGGTGTGCTTCCCTCTGTGACAGCTAGTTTCCTAGCACAGGACACCTTGGCCAAGACTTCAAGTAACCTTATTTCGTGCATCTATCTAATTTCAAATGTAATCTGAAGAACTTAATCTGTTGTTGCAAATAAAACTAGCGCATGTGAGCATCTGCTGATACAGAGCGAACTCCAGTTATTTGTGTAGCTGCTTCTGTTTCAGAGAGAGACTGTAATAGCATATTGCCACACTTGAACAAACAAAACTGGCTTGAGTGAGTTGTCTAGGTTGAAGGAGTTCTGGTAAAGGTTCTTTCTTTTTGCCAGCTAATGTTGTGGAACTTTGAAATTTTAAAAACTGAATCACTCAAGTATTTGTGAAAGAAATGAAAACAAAGAAGATCAGGACAGTATTTCTTGTACTATATATGTTTTATTTCTGACCAGCAGTGTTTCTGACCTGATACATCAGCCCTTGATGTTTTAGTAGGAGCAATTTCAGTAACATATTTGGTGGAAGACAGCAGGACAGCTTCACCAAAAACACTTGATGTGGTTAACTCAAGTTGTTAATTTTTAGATGAAGTTGGGAAAAGCTTAAAATGCTGAAAAAGGATAAAGTTTCTCAAGCAATTTTCAAGTTCTAAGGATGTTTCCCTCTGTGCCACTTCAGCTTGTTCCTGTGTTGATTGCTTTCTGTTTGACTTGAGATTGATACCAAATGTCACCATTGGTGAAAGAGAACATAAAGATCAGGGGTGAAGAGGAAAGGTTGTTTGGTTTTTGTTTAATTTGCTTTACCATCATCTCATCTTTTTTTTTCCTGAAAATGTTAATATAAGCAATACTTCTATTTAATAACATTTGCATTAAGGCCTTCTCCAGCAGCCCCTGATATTTGGTTAGAGCCTTTATTTTATGTTACTTTGTATGTGGACTCTACCCACAAGGATTTGAGCTTTCTGTAAAAGCATTGGTGGTTAATTTCTGGTATAACGATTAAATCTCTTACAGAATATCTTATGTCTGAGAATTGCTGATGTCATGACTATCATTCATTGGTTGCTATGGAAATTAAGTAGAGTGCATTCAATAT